GCATTAATAGTATCATTATGAGAAATTAATGACATATGCTTAAAATGTTTTGCACAGTACCTGGAATCTAGCATGTACTCAAACAGTAATTCAGAGTTTCCTAATCCACCTATCATTTCCAACCAAATGGGCTACAGCTGTGCTACTTCCTTGGATCTTGAGTCATACAAATATTATTTCCTCAGTATACTATAATATTGAAAGGCTGGGAAGTATTACCTGACTGTAGTATTCATACCACTGCACCTCAAGATGGATAGATACTATGCTTCTGTGCCACTTCCTCCCTTACTTCTTATGTTTTGTTGTGCTTAACTTTTTCTTTCTTGTTTGCTTGTTTGTTTCTGACAGGGTCTCACTATGTAGTGCAGGCTGGTCTTGAACTCACTATGTAGTGCAGGCTGGCCTCAAACTTGCTCCAATCCTCCTGTCTCAGCCTCCTGAGTGCTGGGATTATAGGTGTGTGCCTCCACACCCAGCAAATGGTGTGTTTTTAGTCTTGCATTTTGGCTGAGTATTGACTTTGGGTTTAGAACCCCTCAAGAATGTTAAGCCATTGCTGTCATTGCCCTCTGCCTTCCATGGTGACTACTGAATTCCTCTGAGTCCATTCACTCTGAGACCTTTTATGAGGACGCTTTCTGTTCTCTGTGTGTAGGAATTTTTCTTTCCCCTCATTGTTATAAAATTCCATGATATGTCCTCTTCTGTTGTATAGATTATTTAGCTCCTTCAGTCTCCAAATTCACATCCTTCAGTTTGGGGAATTTTATCTTGAACCATAACTATTATGATTTCCTCTCCTGCATTTTCCATGTTCCATCTTTCTCAAATTCACGTTATAGTACTTGGAAGTTGGACTTCCTGGACCAGTCCTCTAATTTTCCTTCTTTTGTCTCTTCCAATTTCTAACGTTTTGTTGTTTTTCTCTACTTTCTGGACCCTTTAGTTAACTTGACCTTTCAACCTTCCTAATGAGATTTTTATGTTTTGGTGATATTTTAATTTTAAAACCATTTAAATTGTTTCTCAATATCCTCTTTTTAGTAATAGTATCCTGGTCCTTTCATGGTTGCAGTGTCTTTTTTTTTTTAATCACATACTGGTGATGGTGGTGGCATAACTCTGAATATACCAAGACCTACTGTATTGTTCATTTTAATAGGGTGAACTTTATGGTAAGTGAATTATATACCTCAGTAAAGCTCATATTAAGAATATCTTTTTGGGGCCAGGGATTTAGCTCAGTGGTTTCGCCCCCTGCTGTGCAAGCACAAAGACCTGAGTTCGATCCCTGGTACCAAAAAAAAAAAAGTATCTTTTTAAGGGCCGGGGATTTAGCTTAGTGGTACTGCGCCTGCCTTGCAAGTGCAAGGTCCTGAGTTTGATCTCCAGTACCAAAAAAAAAATCTTTTTAAACATTTCTCTGAAAATGTTGATCATCCTTTTGAAGTTTTCTTCTCCATACGTAGTCTTTCTTTTCTCCTAGTTGCTTTTTCTATGTTTCTTTTTTCTTCTTTGCAGTGCTGAGGGTTGAACAAATGGCCTCATGCATGCTAGGCAAGTGTTCCACCACTGACCTAAATCCCCAGCCCTTTTTGCCCTGTGTTTAATATTAAGGCTTTTCTCAAATGTTTAGTGGTTCTGGGCTATCCACTTGTTAGAGAATTAAGGATTATGGGCTGGGCTTAGTCAGTGGTAGAGTGCTTACCTTGCATGCATAAGGCCCTGAGTTCAATCTCCAGGATCACAAAAGGGGGGGAAAAATGTGCAGGTGGGGTGGCAGGGTGGGGGAATTAGGAACCAGGCATGGTGGCACATACCTGTAATCCAAACACTCTGGGAGGCTGAGGCAGGAAGATGTCACATTCAAGCCCGGCTCAAACAACTCGGTGAAACGCGCGCTGTCTCATTAAAAAATAAAAAGGGCTAGAAAGGTAGCTCAGGGAGAAGGCCCTGGGTTTAATCCTCAGTATCACACACACAAAAAGGGATGAAAACCCTGGATGCTGTATGTGCCTGGTTTGTCCACTGGGGAACTTCTGTGGAAGATGAGTTGATTGGGCCCTTTTATTGGGAAATTCCCATGTCAGGATCTATAGGTCTGTTCCCTTGGTCTCACCAGGCTCCTCAGAGGAGACTTTTCCAGTCTCCTGCCTAGAAGGTAATGAGACTGTCTGCTAACATTCTGGGAGCCCTGGGGAATCTATAAACGTAGCAAGTAAACATCAAGCCCCCTGCTTTTAGTATGGCATTCTCACTTTCAGATGTGTCTGGTACTTCCTAGTCAGTCCTCTCTAGAGAATCTACCAAAAATTGAAGAGGGGAATCTGCCTTTTTTCTCTGTGAAAAAATTTAAATATAAGATGGTAAAGGTTAACATAGAATGACTCCCACATACCTATTAACCAGTTTCAATAATTACCAACTCAGGGCCAATTTTATTTGATCTCACCTGTTTCTTCTTTTCCCATCCAAATTATTTTGAAGAATATCTTAACATCATTTTATCTATAAATAAACTATTATGTATTTCTAAGAGGTAAGAACTCTTAAAAACAACAACAACAACAATACTATCATCCTTTCATCTCAAAAACAAAACTCTCACCAGGCGCGGTGGTGTATGCTTACAATCCCAGCCCTTGGGAGGAAGATCACTGAATTCAAGACCAGCCTGGACTACATAGTGAGTTCCAGGCCAGATTGAACTACGTAGTGAGACCCTGTCTCAGAAAAACCACCTGGCGACTCCTGAAGATCAGCATTTATATATATATTTTTAAGATCAGCATTTACAATAAAAATTTTAATTTGATCCCGGTACCAAAAAAAAAAAATCAGTATTTATCCAGTAATTACTAATTGCTTTCTAAAACAGACTTTTCACTAATCAGCTCCACTTTCAACAGAACTTGTTGCTACCAATTCCTGCAGTGTAAAGCAGCTTGCTCCTTACTGTTGCCAACTCCCAGTTTAGGATTCCACTTTCTTGGGTCATTGAACTTGGAACTATCCATCTATCTGTATCTCAGCTTCTTTTGTAACTCTTACATCATTTCCTATTCTCTTTGTCATTGTGCTTTCGTTCATTTATTTTTTTCAGACAGGGTCTCACTATGTTTACATTAGCCTTCTGAGTACCTGGGATTACAGGTGTGCACCATGTGCTAAAAAACAAAATACATCAAATCTCTTTATAATATCATAGTAGGATTTTGGAAGGAGAGAGAGGTAAGTACGTTTGTTCAATATGACTTCTTTGAATACTTTTGATGGCTGGCTGTCCACTGTTACTTTGAAGTCCTGAAGGACAGGGTGGACATTCCTTTCCAGAGCCTCCTAATTAATCTTTGTACCCCTCTGGCAACAAACAACTCTACTTTTATGATGAATTCTTCCCTTTAAACTTCCATTTAATGAAGTTAATTTTAACTGCTGCTTCCCTTCTTCACCCATAGCATATATTTCCCATTATATTTGAAGAGAAGAATTCTGTTACTCCCAGTCATTTCTCCTTTGTAAAGGTTCTGTGGTCCAGGCCTGTAGCTCAGTGGTAGAGCACTTGCCTAGCATGCGTGAGGCCCTGGGGTTCAATTCCCAACACTCAGAAAAGTGTTGATATTTAAGAGGTCATGGTCCTTCAGCTGTACCCTATATGGCTGAACACAGTGCACTTTCTAGTCTTCTATTATGGTTTTTCTCTGCTTTCCACTATTTCCTTTTGGTATGTATCTTCACTCAGCTTTCCTAATTGTGTCTAAACAGAGTAGAACAAAAATACCTTCTTTCCTGTTGAGCGTTATACCCTGATTAGTGTAGTCTTTGATCCTGTTAACTTTTAGATAATTTTGTCAGGTTGAATAGAGGCAAAATGAATGCTATAATCTTTCCTTCGCATGTCACTTCTAAGTTCTTTGTCCCTCATCCTATATTCATTTCCATGGTTTGGGGGAGCCAAACATAAGGATTTGCGTTTGTTCCTATTAAATGTTGTACTATTACAAGGTCTACAAGGGGATAAAAATAGGGGTATTGTGTCTGTCATGAAACCTCAATGGGATATTCCCATATTTTACAGAGCAGAGAAATAAGGAAAATGGGCAAGAGTTACAAGGAAGAGAGGCTTACTTGGAAAGAAAGGTAGAAGTCTCCTGAGTATTTCATGGTGAAGAGGTCTGTGAGTGCATGTTCTGAGAGCAACAGAACAGAAGCCATGGTGAGGGAGGACTTGGGATCCAGGGAGAAGGGTACAGTTGCTCTGTGAAGAAGATTTTGGAGGCTCTGACAGTGGAGTCAGGGACACCGGAAGCTTCAGATTAGAGAAGGGGGACACTGTTTGCACTGGTAAGGGCTCTCATTGTATCGGACTCTGCTCACTTGTTTCTCATCTGGGTAGCAGCAGCTTGTGAGTTCAGTCATATCTGCTCCATCCTCCAGATCAAACAGCTAAGGCTTCTGCAGGTAAAGAAACTCACATAAAGTCACATAGGGACAGACCAGGATTCACACCAAGTCCCATGCTATACCATTTTCCACAGATGGTCCCACACAGGAAAGGAGCAAGGTAGATTATATTTGAAGGTTAGTGGAAACAGGTCTGTGAAGCAAGTAAAACAAGTTAGTTTTTGTGTTCAAAGAGTGTTTAAAAATCCTGAGATGCTACCCTAAGCCAATTCTGATTTTTGTTTTGTATTTGACACTCTGTGACCAGTTGAAAAAATTTGTGGTGGATACTTTCTTTTGAAATTATTTGTGTGAAGAGGGGCAGAATTACTCTCATAGAGGAGAGACAAGATGATAAAATTGTATATATGTGTATACTTACATACATATGTGCTATGAAGCACAATGTGCTATGAAGCACGATTTCTTTAAATGATATATGTGGACTCTTCTCTGTACAATCAAAACAATAAAATTTAAAAATCCCTGGTCCTGAGAATTGTTTTAAAAAGAATGAGGGCATGTCTGATTTTCAGACATCCGTTACCTTGTAGGCCTTTGCCCAGTTTGATGCTGAGGGTGATGGTACAGTTGATGCTGAGAACATGTTGGAGGCCCTCAAGAATTCCAGTGGAGCCAACCTTCAAGGGGAATTGAGCCACATCATCAGACAACTGCAAGCCTGCTCTCTTGTTCCAGGTAAGGCTCTTTTGTGAGCGCACACTAGACTATTCACTCAAAATCAAAATGAACTTTGCTCTATTACCAATTGAAATTAGGCAAACTTGTGGGCATCATGAGATAAGCTCCCCCAAAGCACTGAACTACTTTTGGTATGGTTATTTCTTTCATTCTCCATACCATGATGTCATGATGTCTGGGCAGTTCTACTTCTTTTTTTTTTTTTTTTGAAACAGAGTCTCACTATGTAATTTAGGCTG